AATGAGTTCGAAACTCCACTACTAGAGATTGTTTCCTATAACCAACCTAATTCCTATAACCAAACCTACATAATATAAACAGAATGGGATACAGTTCTGGAATTAGGCTTCACAATCTGGGTTTTAGAGCCCACTTAGTGAAGAGTTTGAGCTTTCAATCATAGTTACTTCAAAAATAATTTTACCTTGTAATCTAACACTCACCCAAGACCATACTATACTATAATCTTGATCTTCAATCTTTGAGCTTTAATGGTCCATCATCATATTACTTCTTGTTAGTCCATGGCTTTTGAATTACTTGAGATAATTTGATACCTGATAATATGCACACTTAAGTAACAAGTGAATATTTTTAATGTGCTAAATTGGTTAATTTTGATGTTTTCTCCAAAAAAAGGAAAAAAAATCAGGTTGTTAATGCGTGAATGCACACACAAAAAATAGTTTTTTTGGGAAAAAAAATCCTATGGGGTTCTAAGATTGAAAAATGGTTGGTTAAAGGAGGTGCTCATCCCTCTCTCATTTTCTGTACTGCTGTAGCACTCCGGTGATTCTACCAGCAGGACTAACAACAACTTAGCCTACTTTGCGAGAGAGAAACAAGGACCCCTTGCTTAGCCTACTTCACGAGAGAGAACCAAGGGCGCTTGCTTAGAGATATGGGCGAAAGAGATGCAAAAATAAAAAAAAATAAAATAAATGAAGAAAGGTAGAAGATGAGAGAGATGCATGCAAAAGAGAGAAAAACAAATTAAAATAAAACCCTAAAGATGCATCTATATAAGGGTGAGTGAAGAGAGGAAATGAGTTAAGAGGACCTTGTGTCTCTCAAACAATTGTTAGAAGTAGGAAGTTTTCTCAACTTGATTCAATATGTATCATCAAAGGTTGGAAGTTTATTCTTCAAAAGTTTTTACGAGGACTGTAGACTAATTTTGAAAGAGATGAAGGTTGGTTGTACTCCTTGGATTGCTTGGACTTGAGTAAAAGGTGCTTGGAGGCAGTTCAGGACCCTTTCAGGTTGCAGAAGGGAGTTGAATAGGTCGTAATCCCGAAATCTAGTGGAGGAAGGGGTTATTTATAGAAGTTTTGGGCCAATGGGAATTACGGAAAGCCGAAACTATGATGTTTTAGGGAAAATATCATCATTTCCGCATCAAGTGATGTGGCAATCCCATTCTTGGGCAGTAATCCTCTGTGCCACATCTTTTGATGTAGCAATTTGAAACCTCCTCGATTTTCATGACAAAATCGTGTTTTAAGTGATAATGACCTAATTATTTTTCATGTTATCATATTTTTAGCGATAGAATCTGATTTTGACTAGGTTTTGAGTCGTTTGACCCTTAGCCTTTGGGATAGTCTAATGAGAGAATCTCAGGGACTCCTTTCAAGATCGAAAAAAATAGAAATAGCCCAATCAAAGGGATATTTTGGGGTTTTTATTAAGGTAAAGTAATCCAAATTTCATTATGTAAGCATCAATTTGAGGTTTTGATGAAGCCAAGATGATGATTTGAAAAATCAGGAATGGGTGCTCATGACTGGACGACTCCTATGGCTCTTATGCGATTCAATGGTGGAAGTATTCGAATCGAAAGGTATTTTTAGGATTTGTAGGTAAAATGACTTGAATTTTACCATAGGCATGTCAATTTGAGTTCTTTGATAATGGAAAGATGGACATTTGAAAATCTGGGAATTGATGTAGGCCTGAAACTCAAATTTGTTTGATATCTCAAAATTGGACCAATTGGTTGGATCCAGTTAAAATCGGCTTGTGCAAATGGATGGATTATTATTATTATTATTATTTATTTTTGGTAAGTAAGAGCAAATTGATGGATTATGATCCCAAATGATGTTTTAAATCATTTTTATTGGGTTTGATGAAGGATTAAGACCTCTTGACGTTGATCGTGATTTAAATTAGGGTGTTGGAAACCCTAATTAAAGCTCGACTTGGGAGTCAATTTCATAATTGGAAGGTGAATCAATTTGAAATGTTGAATAATGATGGAATTCTACTTTTGGGTGGATTTAGAGTCTTTCATGCTCTCTTGTTGCTTAGAGGAGTAGAAATTAATATATGAGAAACCCTAACCGGGACTCCAAGACTCGATTTGTAGGTGATTTCACTATTGAGTATGAAATTGACTCGATTGTTTTTTTTTTTTTTTTTGAAATGATTGAATCCCACTCTAGGGTGGATTTGGAGTTTTTGGGACCCCTTGATCGTGACAAGCGACGGACTCTACGAAGTTTCGGTGATGAAAAATAGCTGAAAATAGGGGGTGGGGGCAAAATATGGTATCTACAATTGTCTTTTGCCATATGAACTTTTGACATTGGTCCCTAAGACATTAGGATTTTGGGCATATTTTGAAAGTTAAGACCGTCTATGATGTAATAGAAGCAAAAGGAGGACGATAAATATAATTAATTAATCTACAGAATCCCTAAATTTCACTACAAAAAGATTTTCTAAGTTCAATTTTCGTATCAAAATGAAGAGAATTCAGTCACTACAACCTTATTTAATTATAGCATAGTCTAAACTCTACAAGATTTAAGAAACAAAAGAAAATCTAAGATGTGGACAAAAAGAAAATATTAAATATTATACTTTCTTAAAAAAATCACATTAAAAGACCACAAATAAACTCTAATAAATAAAAAAGAAACTAGAAAATAAATCCTCACTTATTGCCACTTGTTTTGCACTAATTTCATTACTCCATTTTTTTTTTCAAAAACTATTTTTATAAACAGTTTAATAATTTCATTATTATCTCATCTAGATGTACTAACGAAGTTAGAGGACTCTACATACTACCATAGTGGAGGAGACATCGAAAATCCTACCAATAACAGTTTCCTTTCAGGTTTGTCAAATTTCCTAAGTTTTCATTTGTTTATCTTCTTTACTTTGTCTTTTGGTTGATGGTAAGACTTCAAATCCTAACTCTATAACCTTTTTTTAGATGCCATGGCAACATTTGTTCGGTTGCACGAAAATTTCGAATTGGAAATCCAATTCTATGGAATTAGATTCAATTAATTCAATTCCAAATCCGTTGTTTGGATCAACTTTGAATTTCGTCTATTATTGAATACCAATTCCATTTTTTTTTCTTTCATTAAACCATTCATGTATAAATGAATATTTATAGATGATATATGAGAATATATGCCAACATACACACATATGCACACAAATGTATTATCTGAGAACTTGATAGAAATTATAGGTCATCCTAAATTTCCACCCTCTATCTTTGACGTTGACAAATTTACACTGGTTGTGTGCGCAGTGAAGCAAAAGTTGCATTATGCAATATGGAAAGTCTCATTAATATTTGGTAAGGAATGTGTAAAATAGACACTTCAATTTGGAGCATGCAATACTAAAATATATAGCATAACTCCATTCCTCACTTTCATTTAAATTGCAGTGCCACATATGAAGTATATTCGAGAGATAAAATTGAAACACGAGAAAGCACTTCAACTTGTGAAACATCTTTGCAGCGAAAGCTTGAAGTTGAATTACTAACAACTAAAGATATTATTCAAACATCTTTAGTCAGTGCAGCAGTTTCTGGGATTCCTGAAGTTGTTGAAGAAATTATTGAGGTATTTCCGGACTTAGTTTATCACACAAATGAGATGGGACAAAATATATTCCGTATTGCAATTTTGAACCGTTGTGAAGATGTGTTCAACCTCATTTATCAATTTCGCGAGGAGGTACGACACCTTATACTAACAATTAAAGACGTGAACAATAAAAGTTGTCTAGATTTGATTGTAGATTTGAAAAAAGAGCAAAAACTCAATCTTAGAGGTAGTGCAGCTGGTGCAGCTCTACAGATGCAGCGTGAATTGCAGTGGTTCAAGGTAATGAATAGACTATTTTCCAACTAAGAATAAGTGCATCACAATAAATCTCTTTACATTTCATATCCTTAAGTTGATTTTATCAAAATTTACACACTTCCAATCCTCATTAGTAGGGCAAAAAATGTGTCGAGTTTGAGCCTGAAATCTTATTTGAAATGTTTAGATTATAATTTGAAATTTGTTTAGATATGGATTTTATTTATACATTAATTTTATGAGTTAGATATAAATTATATACGATTATATGAACCCTCACATTATGATATGAGTCTGTACATGGATTTACATAGATCTGCTATTGATCAGATCCATTTCATTCATCTAGCAATAAATCTTGCCACGTAACTTTGATGATATTAATTTGATTCCACGATGTCAGGTTTCTGATTATCTATTGTGCTGACTACTTCCCTTAAACGAATAATAAATATTGGATAGGCGTCAAGTACACAAAAGCATGTTTATGCTTGTTAAGTATGACATTTAGTCTGTCTTGCATTTATGTAGATCTAAGAAGCCAGCATATATATATATTTGTGTGTGCGTGTATGTGTCATAGCCCATAGATTAATCCAACCAGTATTGAAACCAAAATTCCTTGTACATATTCATAAGAAATGTTTGTCTTGAGTGGCACAAACAAAATTCACTCTCATGATCTCATCCAGCACAACCAGTGCTAGATTTTACATTTTGAACCGAGCTCAAGAAAGACTGTCCAACCTCTATTCGATAGATCTGACATGCAAAATGCATGGTTCCCTAGATGTGTTAGCATAACTAGATGCTAAAGAGAAGCCTAACCCAATAAGGTTTTTCTATTTCTTCTATAAATTACTATGGAGAGATTTGATACCTCCTGTCAATCCAAACATGTACAACCCCCGTGGTTTTTGTTCACCAGATGATGGAGAAATCTAGTTTCAATTTTGCAAGAAGTAAAAGTTTTTCAGTGAATTCATTTCTTCTTTTTCTAATTTTTAATCTAAAATTATATAATTCTAGATTTCCTTTAAACCATGCCATATTTTAAACTATTAGAAACTTTTGATCAAATCTGCTTTGTAAATGCCAAGTCATTCCATTTAATGCAGGAAGTAGAAAAACATTCAATTACCAAGGAAAGGACTATATCCGGAACAGTATATACTGAGACACATGAGGAGTTGGTCAAAGAAGGAGAGAAATGGATGAAAGACACAGCTACCTCATGCACAATTATAGCAGCTCTTGTTGCTACTGTAGTGTTTGCAGCTGCCATTACAGTACCAGGTGGAGATGATGACAAAAGTGGCATTCCAATTCTCTTCCAAGATAAATCCTTCATACTCTTTGTCGTATCAGATGCGCTTGCTCTTTTCTCATCTGTTTCTTCTGTACTAATGTTCTTATCCATCCTCACTTTGCGTTATTCAATAATTGATTTTCTCGACACCTTACCCAACAGGTTAATTATTGGTCTCCTATCCCTATTTATCTCCATAATATCCATGATGATAGCCTTCGGCGCCACACTCTTCCTTATTTTTGGACATAAGATAACATGAATTCTTTTTCCTATTATTGCATTTTCCTGTATACCTGTGACTTTGTTTGTGTACTCGCAATTTCCTCTCCTGTTGGACATGATCAAATCCACTTATGGCTCCAACATTTTTTGTAAGCAGAGTGATCGTATCCTTTTTTAGATCTGTAAGTTGAGACGGTAAAAAAACATGAACTTGTGTATCATTTGCAATCTTTGAATCCTTGAATGAATGAACTAAATTTTCTTTTTTTTGAGCTTTCACATATAGTTTTGTTTTCTTCTTTTCTGTGTGTCGTTTCGTGATTGGCCGGGACCATTTAATATTTTTATTCACATTCACAACACGAGTGGTCAGGACCACGTATGAGGTGGTGGTTCCGGACCACCTAATAATTCTCTCGACGAGGGAACTTTATTATCTCAATAAAAGGTATGTCACCCTAAGCAAACAGACAGCACTTAACCACTAAAAAAAGTATGTATTTTCTTTGCATCAATGCCCACTTATAATATTCCACTGCCTTTCAACAAATTGATCAGAAGGAATCACCAGTCACTAAATAGTGGCCGGGATCAGCAGATTATAGGGTTTTCTTGGTTCTATATTAAGGGACCCTGTGGTAGCCTCAGTATGCACCAAAAAACCAAGACAAAGTTGCGCCTTTTGGTCAGGTTTTTTTATACTTTATTGTGTTGCTATATAGAAATGGCTGCTGATCAGACAGACCTTAAGAAGCTTGGGTTGCAAGAGTTTGCACTAGAGAGGAGGCCTCCTGCCGATCCTAAGAGATCGGATCTGAGACCGACGTTTGCAATACCGGCTGATTTTCATGCTCGAGAGGGGAGGCCTCCTGCTGATCCTAAAAGATCTGAGATGAAGGAATATCGGTGTCTTAGCCATGGTATGGTGGTGACCAAAGAGGCTATTAGGAAGTACGAGGCGCCAAAATTGTATGGCGGGGCTCTAATTAAGGAATATCGCAAAAGAAAAAATCCTCACTTGAAGTAGAGACTAGAGTTCACCTGTATCTATCTATCTATCTATTATGCTCCTCTTGCATTATGGAGTAGAGTTCACTTGTAGTATATATTATGCATGCTTCCTTATTAATAAGGTTTACTAGTATATGTATCTTGATCCAGCTTTGTTATACTCTCTCTCTTCCTTATATATATTTTGTGTGTGTGTGTGTGTGTTGTGTCCATTATCCATCCATTTATCTATCTATTTAGAATTTTAAGAAGAGAAGGCTGGTTGTCCGAGATTGTACCCATGACTGTTTTTATTTTATTTATTATATTTATTTTATTTTATTTATTTATCTAGAATTTTAAGAAGAGAAGGCTGGTTGTCCGAGATTGTACCCATGACTGTTTTTATTTTATTTATTATATTTATTTTATTTTATTTATTTATCTAGAATTTTAAGAAGAGAAGGCTGGTTGTCCGAGATTGTACCCATGACTGTTTTTATTTATTGTACCCATGACTGTTTCTATCTATCTAGAATTTTAAGAAGAGAAGGGCTGGTTGTCCGAGATTGTACCCATGACTGTTTTTATTTTATTTATTATATATATATATATATTGAAATTTAAATTTAATGGTATATATTTGTGTCTCAAAATTCAATGGAGTTAAATGATATTGTGTCCATGAAGTCTTATCGGTATGATATTGTTGTTGAAAATTTTATGCCAGACAAGAGTATCAGTGAGCCATACTGAGTGCTATATATTATGAAGTTGGTATACTGGTGGAGTTAGTAAACTTGGTCTGTTGGTGGAGTTAGAAACTTAGTATACTGGTGATTATAAGCAAGCAAGGAAGGAGAAAACAAAGAAGCAACACGAAGAAGACAATCGATTCTCTACAAAGTTGTATGATTTATTTTTGCATTAATTTTTATTTTGTGTTTCTTTTTTTCTTTTTTAAATTGTACTTTTTATGTATATAATTGTTATATTTGTTTAGATTCATTAGCTTGCTCATTTCTTTTTAGTAATACTTAATTTTTATTTTTTTATTTTTTTTATTTTATATTGTAACAATTATTATTATTATTTTTATAACAAAATTGTAGATATATATGCGTGTGCAAGAGCAAGAAGGTTTACTTATAAAAAAAATACCAGTATTGTATATATTGAAGATATATATATATGTGTATAAGAGCAAGAGGGTTTACTTATAAAAATTATCATATCATGCATACAAGAGGGATGAATGTTGCCGCCATCATCATCATCATCATCAATAGTAGTCTCCCAGAGGGACATGACATGATATATGCCGGACATGATATATTCCCACCTTCAATAATTGGGTTACTTGCGTACAGAAAGACAACCTAAAAATCTCCTTTATAAAACAACTTTTATTCCCTCAATAAGTGGATTCCAGAGAAAGACAACATAAATCTTCTTCTATATATATAACAATTTATGTTTTTCCCTTAAGCTCGGTATATCTTATTTACTCTTAAGTACACTGGAATAGTATTTAAGCTGATTAACATTCAATAATTGACAATATTTTGTTATATTTAGGGAAATGTTTGAAGATATGGATAATTTTTTTTCATTATAAGTGTGGACTATCGTTATAATAACATTAGGTGACAACCTAAAACCACTATATGGCAGTATCATTAATTGCTCAATTTTTTTTTTAGTAATACTTAATTTTTTACATATTGTAACAATTATTATTATATTAGCCTATAGGCATGTCAATCAAAACATAAAGACTCGGGTTGGTTAGCCTTTTCTCCTCTTCGTAGGAGTCCTCCTTCCTATAGGAGTTTCTCTACTTGTTAGAGTAGTAGTCGCTCTCTCTTCGGTTGTTGTGATAGTTTGATCCATTAATTCTCCCTTTTCTCCTCTTTTGTTTCTCCAACTGATAGTGTGCTCGATCCCTTTTCTGATCCTTTCTTTGCAACACCGTTGTTTTTCTGTTTTGGTCAAGTTGGGTTGGAAATTTCTTCAATTTCTGGTTGTGCAGTGTTGATGGTCTTGTTTTTAGATGGGTTGAGTTCCTTGTAGTGGTGATTGTGGGGTTTTGTCTCCGATTTTCACTGCTTCTTTCTTTGGTAGGAGGAGTGATTTCAGGTGTTTCTTTCCTCCATCTGGATCCCTGGGTGTCTCCTCTGTGGATCGGCGCCGGTATGTTGGTTTTTGTGGTGCAAAGGTTTCTCCGATTCTGTTGAGGACGTCGGTGGCGACTGTGGTGGGATCTGGCAAATTCCCCATCCCGCATGGGCCCCGCTCCGCCCTTTATAGCCGGGATGGGGATCCTTTTACCTAAATGGGGATGGGGATGGGGCTAATTTGTGAACCGGGGCCGGGGCCGGGGCCGGGGCCGGGGCCGGGCCGGGGTGGGGGTGAGGATGGGGTAAACCCGCCTCGATTAAGTGTGAAGTTACTAATATACCCTTACATATAATAATTTATTACTAAATTAGATTTATTATATATATAAAAATAAGAAAAAATATGTTTTTTTTTTTTAATAAAAAAAATTATGAGACCGGAGCCGGCGGTGGGGCGGGGCGGGGGATAAGGTGGCGGGGGCAGGTATGGGGATTCTGGCAAAATTTTAAGCGGGGATGGGAAATGAAAAATGCATCGGGATGGGGATGGGGAATGGAATCCCCGCCCCACCCCGCCCCGTTGCCATCCCTATGTGTACCTGATTCGAGGATTCTTGGTAGCGTCTGTGATACGTTTTTTCGGCCTAGGTGGTTACTCGAACTCTTGGGCCTTTCAATTTGGCCCAACATAGGGGGTTTTTCCTTTCTTGAATCCATGCCTCCCAGTCCATGTAATGGAGAACGCCCATTCATTTGATGGCCCATTGGGCCAATCCCATTTGGGTATTCTTCGGGTAGAGAATTGTGAATTAGGATCTACGTCTTCATATGCTCCATTTTGTCATTCCAGACCGGTAGCTTCGACAACCTCTGGGGTGGCTCCATCTTTGGTACAATCTTCTCCTACTGATGGTAACATAATCATCCGGAATTGCCAAGGATCGGGAAACCCATTGACAATTCAGCAACTTAAGATCCTCAAACGTAAGTTTTCCCTACTATCTTTGCTCTCTTAAAACTAAATGTAGGGGGAATCATCTTGCCAAACTCTAAAAGGTTCTTGGGTGTCATAATGTGTGCATGGTGGATCCGGTGGGTCGTTCTGGTGGTATAGTTATATGGTGGATGGATGCAGTGAATTTGCAGGCGATTAAACATAATCGGTTTTCTATTACTGCTGTTGTCTCTCGGGATACCCAGCAACCTTGGACATTATCGATAGTTTACACGAGTACGGTGGATAGTACCCGAGCCATGCAATGGAAATATTTGGAACACCGCTCTCAATTCTGGCCTGGTTGGTGGGTGTTGGTGGGTGATTTTAATGATATTCTTTATGCCTCGAAGAAAAGTGGTGGAGTGAGTAAACAGGGCTGGAGGCTGCGAAATTTCAATTCCTTGATGGCACGGTGTAATTCATTGGATATTGGGTTTAAAGGGTATCCGTTTACTTGGAATAATCACAGAGATGGGCCGGCTAATATTCAAGAAATGTTAGATAGGGCACTTGCTACACAAGAATGGTGTTCTGCCTTTCCTCATGCTAAATTATCCAATCTTCCCGTTGCGGGTTCCGACCATCACGCTTTGCTTCTTGAGCTTCATCCATTATTTTCTCTGACAAAGAGACAATTCCACTTTGATGCGCGTTGGAATTTGGATAATAAATATGCAAAAATTATTGCTAATAATTGGTAGATAACTATTCAGGGTTCTCGCCAATTTGGTTGGGCTTCGAAATTAAAGTCTTGTAAAGCGGTTCTAATTTGGTGGGCAAAATAGAATTAAGGGAATTCCCAGGAAAAAATTAATCAAGTGGAGTGTGAGCTTCATTGTTTAAAGGGTAAACCATAGATTACAATCATCATCATGTTTTACAAACTGAACAACTTTTACGTAAGTATTGGTTGGATGAGGAGCTCTATTGGAAGCAAAAATCTCGGAACTAGTGGCTCCAATTTGGGGATCAAAATACTAAGTTCTTCCATGCTGCAAAAAATGAAGACGGGCTCGAAACCTTATTTTTGGTATTGCAGATGAAGGAGGGCAATGGTACGATGAGGAGTCTCAAGTTCAGTCTATTTTCTTACAATATTTTCAAGGTCTCTTTCAGTCTCAAAACCCCTCCAATATTGATCAATTTTTAAGGTACATTCCCAATCGTATTTCTCCTGAACAAAATCATTTTCTTTTGGAACAACCACCCACCCCCCCCCCCCCCACCCCGGCCCCCATGGAGTTGGAAATTAGGAAGGCGGCGTGTGACATGGCTCCACTTAAAGTGCCTGGACTTGACGGTATGACGCCTTTGTTTTATTAAAAATACTAGGATGCGGTTAAAGGCGATATTGTTGCGGGCATAGCCAGTTTTTTTCATTCAGGTTATATGCTTTCCAGTCTTAATCATACTAATGTTGTTTTGATTCCTAAAATTATGTCGCCTACTTTAGTTTCGCATTATCAGCTTATTTCGTTATGTAATGTTTCCTATCATATTATTGCAAAAGTACTAACAAACAGGTTGAAAGCGGTGATTGATTTTATCATTAGTGAAACACAGAGTGATTTTGTTGTAGGGCGGCATATCACGGAAAATATTCTTGTCACTCATGAGATTTTACATTACCTAAAAAATAAGCGAAAGGGACGAAAGGTTTTTATGGCCTTTAAATTGGATATGAGCAAGGCGTATGACCGTATTAAATGGGCCTTCTTTTTTCAGATGTTGTCAAGATTGGGGTTTTAAGAGCATTAGATAAAGCTTATATCTGCTTGTGTTTCTTTGGTTACTTATTCCATTAATATCAATGGAAAATCTGTTGGCTTCTTCCATCCTTCTCATAGGTTGTGGCAAGGAGATCCTCTTTTGCCATATTTATTTATCATTTGTGTTGAAACGCTTTCCTTGGCTCTGCATCGAGATCAATAAGCAAAGGTATTGACTGGAGTTCAAATCTGTAGGGGAGCTCTAGAAATTTCCGATCTGTTTTTTGTGGATGATTCTATTGTGTTTTGTTCAGCTACGGAAGGTGAAGTTCAATCCTTAACACGAATATTGCAACAATATGAGCGAACCTCGAGACAACAAGTAAACTTTGCAAAATCTTCAATTTTCTTGCCCAAAAATGCTTCCCCAACTTTGCGCCGTAATTTAAGCAGGTTGCTTGGTCTAATTGAGTGTCAGCGATTATTGGTCGGTCTAAAAGAGATGTGTTTAAATTTGTGTCTCAACACATGCAGGAATGACGGGCTTCATGGAAATCTAGTACATTATCGGCTGGAGGGAAAGAGATTCTGATAAAGGCGGTGTTGAATGACCTTCCCACCTACGTAATGTCTGCTTTTGAGCTTCCTCGTTCTCTATGTTTTGAGTTGATGCAACATATTAGAGGATTCTAGTGGCATCAAAATGGGAAGAAGCGACTAGTGCATTGGATCAATTGGGAACTTTTGTGTTGGTCTAAAAAGATTGGGGGCTTGGATTCAGAGATTTGGAAGCTTTCAATATGGCATTATTGGCAAAACATGCTTGGAATTTTCAAGTTTCTCAAAAAGGTTTAGCTTACCAATTGCTCAAAGCTAAGTATTTTCCGTCGTGTTCTTTTCTGGAGGCGTAGTTGGGATCGACACTATCCTGGGGGTGGCGTAGCATTTGGTTAACCTAAACTCTGTTGAGATCTGGGCTGAGATGGTTGGTTGGAAATGGGAAAGCAATTCATATTTAGCGTGATCATTGGGTCTCGGATTTTCCAACTACGCTTACTCCACGTCGGGAGACTGTTGTTTTTTCTTACTGTCATGTGGTTGAACTTACTGATTATCCTCATTCTTCATGGAGAATGGATATTCTTCACCAATTATTTGAGCCAAGTGTTATCCAAGCTATTTCTTGTATGGTATTTAGTCATTGGGACAAGGATGATGTTCAATTTTGGGCTCCCGAAGCTATTGGGAAATTTTCGGTGAAATCGGCTTATGGATTAGCTTTATCCATTGTTGGGCTACCTGGGGATTTCTTTTCTGGGTGGTCTCTATTGCCTTCTTCGGGTTCTGCTGCTATTGCTTGGCGGAAATCCGTTTGGAGGTGTGATGCTCCTTCTAAGGTTAAATATTTTTTGTGGAGATGTTGCCATGATGCCCTTTAAACGGGGTTAGTTCTTTTGCAGCAAGGTTGGCAAATTTCTCCTTTTTGTTCTCATTGTGGGGCTGATGAAGAGGACCTTGTTCATCTTTTAGTCAAATGTCCACATTCACTTCAGGTTTGGAAGCTGTCTCCTCTCTGGTTTGATTTTTCAAATGCTCACTTTTCCTCTTTTGTGGAATGGTGGAGTTTTGTGCTTGATCATGCAGCGTGTGCTCCTGATAAAAACTCTTATATGAGTTTGATTTCCTTTTGTGCTTGGGCTATTTGGAAGGCTCGTAATCGGCAAGTGTTTGAAAATGAGTTAAGGAGTCCTTCGGTGGTGGTGAACCTTGCTATGGAGTGCTTATGGGAATTTGCAGATATGCGAATGAGATGTAGGCAGCTGGTGGGGAAGAGAAGTACGAATTTTTTGCCTTATGCCTGGGTTCCGCCATTATCGGGGCAAGTCAAATGTAATGTGGATGCTTGTTTTGACATGATCTCTTCTTTAGGAGGTGGGGGGCTGTTTTTCGTGACTCTTTAGGTTCCATCCTTCATTTAGTGGTGTTTCAGCCTTTTCCTTCATCCTCTGCTTTGGTGGTGTAGGCCGTTTGTCTTCGACGTGTTATTTCCTGGGCTCAATCGCTTCAATTGCTTAATATATGTTTTGAATTCGATGCAAAGCTGATTGTGGAAGCTGTCAATGGAACAGGACGTGTTACAATTGATGTTGCGTCAATCATTTGTAATATTAATATAGCTTTGAATTTGTTTCATTTGGCCTCGGTTTTTCATGTGCGGCAATCTGGTAATAGGGTGGCTCATGCTCTTGCCAGTTTGTCTAGAGGTTCTATGGATTCTGATTGTTCTTTATTGACCGTGCCTCCTAATATTGTAGATTTGACAATTAGGGATGTGTCTTTGAATTTTAGTTAAGTGTTGGTGGTTTCTGTTTGCCAGGGGAAAAAAAAAATAATAATAATTATTTTTTTATAGCAAAATTGAAGAATTTCACGTGCTGGAGAAGGTGGTTCTAGTAGTGCCATTCTGTGACATTCGCAATTTTTCATTTTTCTGTTAATTTTTTGAAAATTTGGATTTATTTATTTTTGTGCCTTGTTTTGCGTTTCACGCACTGGTAGCGTGCCACAAAGGTGTCGAGAGTGGTTTTGGAAATTTCTTTGAGTTTAGAACTCTTAGAAATATATTTTGAGTCGTTTTAGTATTTTTTAGATTTTTGGTCTGGGAGATCCCTTGTGGGTCCCATGCTTGGTTATTTCGTGTGGGTGATCTTTTTGAGTCCATGTGTATTTCATGTTTATTACATGATGTATATTTATGTGGTTATGTGTATAGATGTGTGATTATAGCATGTTTTGGTATATATAAACAAATAAGGGCATTTTAATCATTTTGTGAGTCAAGGTGGACCCCACTTTGACCAATGCACTTTAAATTGGCCACACATTCATATATTGACCATTTTTCCTCCTCCTTCCGCCGAGAGACTTCTCTCTCCCTCTCTTTCTCTCTACAATTACTTTCTCTCTCTAAATTTCAAATTTAAAGCTTCCATTTCTCCATTTTCTTATAGGAAAAATCTTTGCCATTGAAGGCAAAGTTGTAGAGCTCAACGAGAGCTTCAATTTGATTGGAGCGGATTTTCGTTTTGGTGACATGGGGATTTTCAAAAATTTGGGAAAATTAGGGCTTTTGCTCATTTCTTGAGGTAGGGGTCTCTAAAGCCTACATCCTTTGTTTTTTGTGAATTAATTTTCTTATATTTGTGTATAGCATGAATAAATTGTGATTTTGAAGCATGATATTATGTTTTATGTGATGAAATGTGTTGAATTATATGCTTATGTGAGCTTTTGTGAAGATATATGTTTAATTAGTGTTATCACATTAATTTTATGTTTTAAATGCCATGATTGTTGAGTTAATTGCATGAGAAATTGTTGTGTTAATTTACCCCCAAAACATGCAAGTATGATTGCAGTCAATGTAAGAATTTTCATATTGGCATGACGTTAAAATTCATGAAGCATTCCTGCATTTGCATTGGGTGACAGAAAGGGAAATTTGATTCTTAATTGAAAATTTAATCTTTTGAAAGGTTTTGAAATGATATTTGCGAAAACCAGACGACAAGGAGTCGCTTTGTGTCGGTGGCGTTAATGGAACCTAGAGGGAACATAGGAAGATTGCCCTATGTGTGGTTGAATTACCTAGGCCCCAAATGATGCTAAAGAGTTGCCTTAGGTCAGGGATAGTTAGCCAATCATTCTCTTGTGGCGCCGAAGAGTTGCCTCGAGCTGGGTTACATTAACGGTTTGACAGTTGTTGCAATTGGCAAAGGTTTTGGAAATGGGGAGTCCACATTGCATTGCTTTGGCATTGCATTTATTATGCTTGGATTGTATTATTGATGAGTATGTTGATTATTTTCCTCAATGTATGCATGATCCTTTTTCCTTTGCTCCATTCTTTGCGTATAATTCACGGGATCATTAAGGAGTGCGTTTTAGGCACCTTTTACTGAGCCATTGTGCTCACCCCTTTATTACCACTT